ATGTGACCTTGAGCCACCATGTCTGGAATGATTTTCCTTCTGTCTGGTGACCCTGACGGTTTCAAGGAGGACTGGCCTCCCGGGAATGTCCCTCAGTGGGCATCGGCCCGTGTGCCTTGTGCTTGGGTGGGTAGGGAGGCTGGGAGGGAGACCACAAGGTGGGGGGCCATCCTCATCACGTGGCTTCAGGGGTGCCCGCTACCATGTGGCTGTCATCTGCGGCGGCGGCCCTGGTCCCTGGCCGAGGCCATGCTGCCGGTCCCTCCACCATGGACTCCTACTTGTTCCCCCATTTGACAGCGGGCCCTGATCAGGATGTCCCCTGCACAGCCACCACTCTGGAGCGCGCTCAGCCACCACCTCTCTGGGGATCGGGCACCTGGACCGACTCCCCATCAGTTGGTCACGGGAGTATCCGTGGTACGCGGGGAGCGGTCCTCCGGCTCCGGTGGCCCGGTGAGCCCGGGTCAGAGACCAGGGTCTGGGCGTGAGCAGAGAGGTTCTGTGGGCACGCTTGCCTGTGCTATGTGTGTGGGTCCCCCGCGTGGCCACACATGGCCATGTGCAGGAAGGGGCAGGGGAGCACACGACGTCCCCAGCTGTGCCCCACCACGTGACGGCCACTGCCTCCACCAGCCCGGCACCCCCGCTCCAACAGGGACGAGCCTGGCACCCCTGCAGCCTGGGGAGCGGTTTCAGGGGCCGGAGTGCGGCTTCTCCCACACGTGCTCCCTCCGCCCTGCTGCCTACAGCCCTGCTCCCCTCCGTCCACCCCTTCGGTGAGGTTGCTGGCCCAGCCGAGCTACACACGGGGGACTGTCACCTACCCTGGCCTTCTCTCCGCTCAGTTTGCTCACAAGGGGTATGGCCGGGGCGGCGGGTTTGGACAGGTGGACAACATCCTGTCCCCACCTTTTGTGTGGCAAATGGCACAGAGGCCCCCTGCTCCACCCGCCCCCACTGGAAGCCTGGGAAGCCGGCCTTTCCTGGGACCACCCCCCTCGTGAACGGAGTCTGGCCCTGTCGCCCCCTCTAGGGCTCCTGTTACTCAGCGACACATTTCTGATGCGCCGTGTCTCGTCTCTGCCTGGCAGGTCCATGAACCGGTCACCTGCTGGAGGGCCCACCGGGGCCCGCCTCCGGTGACCAGGAGCGAGCCTCCCGCCAATGCTCACGTGCAGGTTTGCGGTGGGTGTGCTGTCGAGGCGCCACGGGAACACCTAGCAGAGCGACCGCTGCACGGCCTGTGTCCCTCAGAGCCACACGCCCTGCCCCTCCACGGGGATCCAGAGTCTTCAGCCGGGCTGGGCAGCCAATGGGCAGGGGAGGTGGCCAGGCGCCAGGCCCGGTTCCACAGCCGATCCGACCCTGAGCTGTCACCCGCTCTCCTGGCCTCAATGGCTGACCCGAGCCGTGCGAGAGGACTCTGAGGCTTCACAGGGCCTGCTGGCAGCCGCGGCCACCTGGCCACAGACGGGACACTGAGGCCGGGGAGGTGAGGGTTGTGCCCAACAGACCCCCAGCTGGTCTGGGGGGTCCCAGATACTGAGCCTCACGTCTCCGGGGGGCGCCGGAAGTCGGCGCCGTTCCCATGGCTGCCCCGGAGCCAGGGCCGACTGCCCAAAGCCGCACCCCTGCCCTGCTGCATCGCGACCCCTCGAGGGGCATATGGCGGCCGGGGAAGGCGCCATCAGACCGGTCCCTTCCAGCCCCCGCCCCGTGGTCCTCTCTGGACAGCGGGCCGCACGGGCCCGGAAGCTCCCACCAGAACTCTGCCCATCAGCACTGGGGGTCCCCGGCCGGCCGCAGACGCAGGCTCTCCCAGCCCCTGTGAGCAGAGTGCCGGCCTCACGGGCTTTGGTCGTAGATTCCCCAGGTCAGGGCCAGGAAGGGCTGGCAGGTGTCAGGATCGGGCCTGAGGCTCGGGATCGGGGAGCCGTGCCCAGGCCGCCCTGCGGAGGCCCGGGGTGCAGGTGCTACCCTGTGATGACGAACGGGGACCCACCCTCTGGCTTCCCCCAGGGCAGGCTCCAACCTGGCCTCGGATTTGCTCCTTCAAGGGCACAGTGATGGCCCACCTTGTGCGCTCACAGCCCTGGCCTTCTCGGGAGGTGCCCCCTGCCCAGGGCTGACCTCTGAGGGCTCCAGCCCCCACCCCTGTCCCGGTCCTCGCCCTATGTCACAGCCTCTTTGGAACAAGGAACAGGAAGTGGGGACTTGGGGGCAGTTGTCTGGATCCAGGCCCCAGGCGGGATCTTTGCTGTCCCCCTCCCCCCAACCAGGCACCAGCCCGGGCCTCTGATGCTAGCCCGCTGGGGGACCGCGGGACGGAGGGAGCCGGGTGGGCTGTGCCCCAGGGCGTCCAGCAGAGGGCAGTGCTGCTCCACGCCTCGGCCACCCCTGCACTGGGGAACCATCCACATGGGGCCAGTGGCTGGGCTGGTCTGGGCTGGTCCTGACTGAGGACTCCCCGGGGCTCTGCATGCAGCAGAGAGGGTGGCCTGGGCCCTCTGCGTTCTGCAGCTGGAGGGTGGCTGGAAACGCTTGCTGGAATGGCCAGTACGGTGACACTTGGAGAACACGAGGTCACCAGCAGCCCCCGAGTTTAGGGACAGATAGACCCCTTCCAGCCCTAGGGCCTGGGGACTGAGCTCTTTACATGGCCCCTTCCCTGACTCTCCCTGCTCCAGCCCCTTCCTGCCTGAGGTCTCCCCAACTTCCCTGCCCCCTCCACGGGTTCCCGTCACTCGGCGTGCCGCTGACCTCACGCCCAGTGGTGGCACCAGCTCCCCTGTCCCATGTGTCCAAAGCAGGGTGCCAGGCCCTCTCCCCAGCAGCTCCCCCATTTCCCGAGCGCGCCCGTGCTCCCAGCATCTGCCCGTTTGCTTGCTGAGGGCGGAACCAGCCCCTTCCGGTCACAGGCCTCCCAGCTGCACAGCGGGTGCTCAGTGCTGTCCCATCCCAAATGCTGCCCCCACCCCCCAGCCTCTGGAGCTCTTGAATTACAAACCCCAACCCTGCTGGGTGGGCCTGTGCCGGCAACCCAGCATCTCTGGTCCAGGGGGACCACCCCGGGCAGGCGTCGCCATGGTGACCGGGAGCAGCAGGGAGGCCCGAGGCCGGATTGCCTGCCATGTTGCGTGCACTCATGCGTCACCGGGGGTCCCACTCCTGGGGGTGAGGCTCCAGGGGCTCCACCCACCGCAGAAGTCGGGGTTAGAGCCCGCCCGGCAGGACTCGCTGGTCTCCTGCCCGAGTGCCTCTGCTCCTCTCACTGGGGTTGGCACACCGCCCAGCTGTGCTCCTGGGGGTCTCCATCCTGGAGCAGGTTTGGGGGACCCTGGCTTGGGGCAGGAGTGGCCCCCATGGAGGTCATCTCAGTCAATGGCCTGTTCCGGCCGGGGCCGCCCCTGATTCGCACCGACAGACCGGGGTCCCCCACACGGCTCCTTAGGAAGACGGGGATCGGCCCTCCCGGCCCCAAGGACAGGATCTGGGCAGGGCCACACCCTGAAAACCCGTGAGGAACACTCCTCTGCTGGCCCCCTGCAGGACTGAGCGTCAGCCGTCCGAGCCTGCTGTCGGAAGGGGACGCTCACACCTGGCGCCCTCCCAGCCCACCTGCGACCACCTAGCACGTCCTGAAGGCCCCGCCCGGAGCTGGGCTGGCACCTGCATGGGCAAGGGGCCCACCAGGGACCTGGCGGCCCCACACAGCACATTCAGCGGTGGCTTTGGTCATGTGGAAGGCAGGACAAGGGCCCCTTCCCGGGGAGGCAAGCCTCCTGACCCCCCAACCCCACCCCCCAGGCCTGAGCCTCTTCGCAGACCCAGGAGGCAGCCCCCACGGCTGGTGACACGCGCTTCTGAGCAGACGGAAAGCCGAGCGGTGGGTCCCGGCCAGTCCCAGCAGGTAGAGGGGCTTGCTGCAGGTGGAAGTGGGCCTCCCTGTGCCCAGCCCCTCCCAGGGAGTCCAGGCTGAGGCCCCATGCACACAGCCAGCAGCAGGCTGGTCCAGCCACGGCTGGGGCCCCGGGAGCGAGACATCAGGCCCAGCTCACAGAGGGAGCACGTGGGGGGTGCCAACTCCCCCGGGGGAGACCCCTCTGTCCTGCATCGCACTCCCAGAGGCCCCGTGAGGCCCCTGCACGCCAGTGTGCAAAGCGGGCACCTGTGTACGCAGGCTGTGTGCACGCGATGTGTACAGTGTTAGGACGGTGTGCGCGCGCGTCACACGTACATGGACACTGTGGGCAAGCGTTGCCTGTGAGCAGGCCTGTCCCGCGCTCCGTGCGAGTGCTGTGTTGCGTGAGTGGGGCCTGCGCGTGCACGTGCGTGTACAAGGGCCGTGTGTGGACACGTGCTGTGGGTGCACCTGCTGGGGAGGGGAGCCGCGGGCCTGCCTTGGTGAGGTTCGCCGCTCTGGCTGGAAGCGCCCTCGCCCGCGGCCGGCATCTGTCTGGTGGCAGAGGGCGGGACCCCAGAGCCTCCCTGGGAAGGAGCCGGGGGAGGACATGGTCACCCGCGCCCAACGGCAGCCAGGCCCGGCCCAGCCCCTAGCCAGCATGGAGATGAAGAGCGTTTACGACACGGCACAGAGCAGGTGGGTGTCATTACCCCGTTAGGAACGGGGCAGCTGGATGACGTCACTCACTCTGTGGCCCCGCGTGAGCACGCTGGCCTGTTTGGGCTGGGACAGCCTGGGGCAGGGCGGGTGGCCGCGTGCCCAGTGCCCAGCGAGGCAGAGGGGCCCACAGGGGCGCCACGAGGGCTGCAGAGCAGAGACCAAGGAAGGAGCACGGTCGCAGGATGGGGCGCCAACAATCCGAGCCGGGGGCCTCGCTGCCCTGGACCAGACCCCAACCCCCGCAGGTCGGGCAGCAGCTGAGTCGCCCCGCACCTGCGCCGCCCCTAGGAAGCCCTCCTGCCCCCTCGCACGGCCGCTCCCAGCCCCACACAGGAAAGCCCCCAGCAGAACAAACGAGAACGGGAGCGTGATCTATTTTTAAACGCTCATATTTTGTTTCTCCTCTCACGCTTTCCTGTGTTTTCCTTTCCACGTTCTAACGCCGCCGTGGGTCCGCGCACGGCTCCGGCAGTGCCGGTCTCCGAGAACGGGGAAGAAAGTTCACAAACAGTCTCGGGAAGGCCAGCTGGCGAGGGGGGAGAACAGAGCGAGGCTTCGGGAACCGCTCAGAAGGGGAAGAGAACCCTGGACGTCCGGGCCCACCCTGCCCAAGGGGAAGCGTCCGTGCCGTTGCACAAAGCCCGCGCTGCAACCTCGGCCGTGCGGGCGCTTCCCGGAGAGCGGTCTCTCTTCCAGCCCTAGAAGCAGAAACAAAACAAGTCCCACCCCCCACCATCCACGGATACATGAGGGATAAAATTACATTTGTACAAAAATAGATTTTTTTTTTTACCTTTCCCGATGCTTTAGACACTTTCTCTCTACTCTGTACTCATCACCCTCCAGAGGGCTCGCGGCGCGTCCCAGCGAAGGCCTTGCTAAGGGTCGGGGGCCGGTAAAGCTGCTTTTGCTCCAAAGCATCTGAAAATAGATGCACTCCTCGCCTTGAGACCCTCACGCAAACCCGATTTCACCAACGGAGGGGTCCTCACGCACTTGCTTACGTGAAGCAAACGTATAGGAAAACGGGGGAAAGTCTTGATTAGAAACGAAGACAAAACGTTGGTAACTGCCCCGCGCTGTCTCTGTGCAGCAGGACGTGTCACGCCGCACCCCCACGCTGACAGGGCACAGGCCATGCGCCCAATTCCGTGATGGGGATGACATCCGCTGATCACCCACTGGCCACACATCCGGCCGGGCCCTGCCAGCGGCCCCTGCGCAGACCAGGGGCTCCACACAGTGTCCACGCTTGCCACCGGCTCGAATCTTCGAGGAACAGGAGACTTGGAGAGCCGGGGGCGCGGGGCCATCGCCCCAGAGACCGCGTGCTTCCAGGCGCCAAGGGCAGGCCGGCTTCCAAGGGCAGCCCCTTGCAGACGCAGGCACAGTCGTCTTCGCTCCCTGCCCCCGATGTCACAGCGGGGACGTGAGTCCGCCCAGCACTCCCGGGGCTCTGGCAGCTCCTGGGCCGGGCCGAGGCGGAGACGGGCGAGAGGTGGCCAACAAGCTGATGTTAGTGCTATCTTTAGAAAATTAAAGATTGTCCCACCAGAATAATAATAATAATAAAAATAATTACAAAAATCACCTTAATTGAACCAGATTGATAACACTACTAACGGTCCGGTAAATAAAGCTCCTACCTCTCCGCCGAGCCACGTGCTATCCCCACTTCACCACCTCCCCCAGCGGCGCTGGAAGCACGACAAGGACAGCAGACGGAGGAGGGGACGGCCCCGCGCGCCCACAGTGCCGTGCCCGCAGGCCGGAGGGGCTGGGGGCTTCCGGCTTTCCAGGCCATAGCCCGGGAGCCTCAGGGCTTTACGGACAAGCAGCCAGGGCCCCCGGGCCCGTAACGGGGAAGTTCTCCAGAAGCCGACCCTCCAACAGACCCAGTCCCGGGCTTCCTCCACTGAGGCCCCCACGTTCCCAAGGACCCTAGGCAGTGGAGAGGGCAGGGCAGGGATGACGGGGCGCGTCCGACTGCAGAAGGCACCGGGGGTGTCGGGTGTGGGGCAGTCTACCGTCCCCACAACTGGGAGGACCCCGAGAGTTCCCAAGAGTGCCTGCATCACTGCCTGTCACAACCGAGCCCCCACAGGCTTCCAAGACTTTCGGGAGAGTCTGGGAGCTGGGCAGGCCCTCCATGCCCCGCCCCTGCCGCCCGTGTGGCCGGGGACCCCTCCCCTCCTCAGGAGCGGCCGGCCGGTGGCAGAGGAAGGCGGCTTCTGGGCAGGCTTTCAGAGCCCCGGCCTGGAGCCTAACCGTCAGGTGGGCTGAGGCCTCTGGAAGGCAAAGCAGGGCCACCTCCTTCCCCACGGGGCCTGGAGGTCCCTCCCTGCCTTGCCCTAGCTGGGGAACCAGACTCTGGGGAAGGCACCCCCAACCCAGAGCTGCTCGTGGGAGCCTCAGGAGGGAAGCCCGTCTACAGAGCAACCCCTCAGGGGCTGAGAACACCAGAGCTGCCCACATCCCCCTGCCATCCCTGCTCGGGCCCCCAGCAGCGACAGACGCTAGGTTCGTGGAGTCTGAAGCGCGAGACTGGGAAGCACTCAGACCAAAGGGAGGACGTTACAGTGCAAAAGAAGCCAGTTCAACCTGAGAGCCCTGCACACCGCGGAGCGCAGAGCACCCCGCCCCAGGAGGCCGCGCCCCTGCCCCGGCCGTGGAAACACTACAGAAGCAGCCACCAGCCTGGACGGGGGCGCCGTGGGCCAGAGCACATGCTGGAGCCCCGCCTGAGGCGGTCACTCCGACAACAGCTGGGCTGGCTGTCCCCGAGGGGCGTCCAGCTGCACGCCCCAGGACCCAGGCATGCCACAGTCCCCGAGTCTAGGACTCGTCCGCGCAGAAAAGGCCGCTGGCGTCGGGGGCCTCTCCGCCAACAGCTCCAGAGGAAGCCCACCTGCCCCTTCCCACTGAGCTTCTCTGCCCACAAGGCCTTCTGGCTCCACGTGCCCCGGGGCGCCCCTGGCTCCCTCCAGCTGCCTGAAGACCCCTGGATAAAGCACCCTCCTGCCTCCAACCTCTGCCCTCGACAGGTCAGCATGGCCCCGGACTTGGGGAAGGCCGGGAAGCGGGCTCACCCTGCAGAGACAGGGGCTGGCCTGCCCCTCTGCCCAGACTAAATCCACGGACAGAACTGAGGCCGGGCTGCACGTGGGGTCTGCTCGCCCCGGCTTGCGTGTGGCTATGCAGGGGGAGAAGCTGAAGCCGTGACTTGAAGAGAAAGGTGAAGGGGGGAGGTGGGTGACCCCAGGCCCTGAAGCCTTGAGGGGGCCGCTCACCCTCCACGGCAAGGGAGGCTGGCTCACCCCAGAGCCCCCCTCGCCCTGCTGGGGGGCAGGTGGAATCTTTGTCCCCCTGCTCCTGAGCCTGGGTGGGGCACGCCGGCGGGGGGCACCTGACGAGAGGCGATGGGGGTCACTCCAAACACAGGAGGGGAGCATGGGATGTTCCGAACACCAGCGTGGCCCAGGGGTGGGCCTGCGGCCCGGAGAGCTGGCCCCGCTACCCCAGGAAAGCCGGGGCCCGGCTTCCCGCATGAGCAGCACTGGAAACGGCGAGGTGGCAACACGGAGGCTTAGCAGGCCGCGTCCCCACGTCTGCAGAGGCTGGGCAGGGAAGGGGCAGGGGACGGGGCTCGGCTGAGAAGAGCAGCAGGCGGCCGGGCAGGAGCGGCCAGGCCGGCGGGCGGGCGTGAAGGACGGGCCGGCAGGCCTAAGTCATTTGGTGGGGGGCTTCCAGCATCTCCATGAGGAAGGTGTCGATGGGCGTGTCCCCGATGAGTTTGAAGAAGAAGAGATGTTCCAGGCACTTGAGGCCGATCGAGCGCAGGGCCGGCAGGCGCAGCAGCAGCTTGGCGAACCTGTGGGAGGGCCCGGTGAACGCGCGCCGGCCACCCTCCCCGCCCTCCACCCTCCACCCGGCACCCGGTGGCCTCCTGGGGACAGGACAGAGCCCCGAAGCCGCAGCAGCAGAGCCCGGCCTGTGCAGAGCCTGGGGGAAAGGGGGGCCAGGCCTCTCAGGGAGTAGAGACGGCAGGCCCGGGCCTGGGAGCAGGAGCATGCGGGGTAGACACAAAGATCCCGAACGAAGGCCCGTGGCGGAGAGACTCGGGAGGAAGGACCAGGCGCAAGACAGTGGCTGGGCTGCCGCAGGCTCGACAGAGCTTCACGGGGAAGTTAAAATACGTGGGCTTGCTCCAGGCACGAGCGGGGAAGAGCTACGATAACGGGTCCGAGCACGGGCAGTGCGCCTGGCAGCAGTGCGGGGGTCAAGGCAGAGTGGCTCTGGGCCGGGGGAGCAGGTCGGGCTCAATCCAGCCGCAGCTCGTAAAGCACTGGCGTCCCGTGTGCCCCAGGCCGGCACCCACCCCTTCCTCAGAAACGGCTCTGCTGGAGCCGAGCCACAGGCCCGATCCCCAGGCCCTGCCCAGCCCGAGGGAGGAGACCGAACGGGGAGGGTGGCAGGAGGTGCTGGGGCTCTGGGGCGGGGGGCACCAGGCTCAGCTGCTGGGCTGCCGCACCCCGCCCCAGCAGTGGACGGACCCTTGAGGGGCCATGGGGCCTCATTAATTATTCACAACGTCTGTATTTCAGGGGAGAAAGCCCTGTGGTTGGCCTGGCAGCCACACAACCCACGTTTTAAGGCAGAAACGCAGCAGAGGCTGGACCGGGGCCAGAGAAAGCGGTTTTCTGCTGAGCCGGCGAGATGGGCTGCGGCGGGGAGCCAGGAAAAACAAGCCCGCCCTCCGTCCTCCTCAGCAAGTTTCACTTTGAACCGAACCAGATGAGGGCCGTGAGGAGCAGGGCACAACCACCCGTGCCCGCAGCTGCGCGTGCGTCAGGCGGGTGGCGGCAGGGGCTGGCGGCCGGCGGGGGGGGCATGGCCCTCCCGAGAGAGGCCCTCTGCAGGTGCGGGGGGGGCGGGCAGAGTCAGGACAAGACTCGTGATGGCACCAAAGCCACAGACAGCCCCCTTGTCACCTGCCGAGCGCCCGGCACTGTGGAGCCCGGTGCCCCCAGCACCCGCACAGCTCTGCACACGTGTACAAGCGCCTACCGTGTGCTGGCATCTGTCCCCGCTTCGGGCAAGCGCACCAAGACCCAGGTCTAGGGGAGCCCATGAGGGGCCGAGGGAGGCCCCAGGGCACAGGCTGCACGCGGGCCTGTGTTTGCAGGGGCGGTGGGAACGCCCGGGCACGTCCCCCATGCCCTGCACGGGCTCCCCCCACTGAGCAGGGCGCCTCCTTCTAACTCACACAAAGGTACCAGAAGGGCTGGGGGCGGTCCTGCCTGGGGCGCGGGTCACGGGCCCCTGAGGCCCCAAGGGAGGCCCGGGCCGGGGCTCACCTTCCTGGCTGCTCTGGGTACTTGTGCTTGCAGTAGGTCTCCAGCGACGCGTACACCTTCTCTCGAAGCGCCTCCACCTCTGCCGGGTTCGAGAGCCCCTTGGAGTCTGCGGTGGAGGGGCCGCAAGTCAGCGGCCTCAGCCCAGACTGCCCAGGCCCGCTCCCCGCCCGGCCCTGCCCGGCTGGGGCCAGCAGCAGCTGGACAGGCTCCGCCCCCGAGGCTGCCCCTCGAGTCCCAGCTTGGGTCCCGGCTTGCCACCCGCTGGACACGTGAACTGCAGCCCACGCCTGGACGTCCCAGCTCTCAGCTTCCCCATCGGGGGTGTAGGGAGGCAGGGATAGACGTCCCAGGGCTCGAGCAGATGAGCCAGCCCGGCCCTTCCTGTCCCGGTCAGAGCCCACCCGGGCCGGGTCCTCCTCTCGGCTTCCTCGTCTCCCGGGGTTTCCCACGACCCAACAAACCCACAGAGACGAACCCATCTCTCTCTACAGTGGCCACCATGTCACATGGTATCACACTAGGGTTCAAAGTCCCCAGGTCTGGCCCCAGCCAAGGGTGGCCCATCCTGACAGCCCCGGGGGCAGACGCTGGAGCCCACAGCTGCCGTCTGAAGCCAGTGAGCCCCACAGTGGCTCCGTGGTGAGACAGGCCTGCCATCAGGCCACCTCTGAGCCACAGACTGGGGGGCTCACACCAGTGCCCACACCCCCAGCAGGTACATCAGGGTCCAGTGCGAAAGCCGCAGGCCGCCTGGGGCCCTGGGCACCTCAGGAACGTGCCAGGCTTCTCTGTAGCTCAGCACCCAGGCCTGGGGGCCTCCGCTCTGGCCACATCCTCCCCGCGCCGGCAGCCAGGCCACGCGCAACTGCAACAGGGAGGGCACACGGCAAGGCTAAGCTGTGCGGCCCCGGCTCCCATGCTGGCAGGACCACAGGCTCAGAGCATAAACCTGGGGAACAAGTGCCCCCGGACGTGGTCTGTCCCCACAAGAAGACACTCATCTCTCCCACAGCCAGTTCCCTCCGCACTGGAGCTGATGGAAAGCGGGAGGTCCGGGCCCAGAGCCCCTGGCACCATCCCGGCTTCCCCACTGGCTGGCCAGCTCCCCAGCTCCCCCAGAAGCCGGCAGCAGCCCCGAAGGACACTGCGCCCCTGAGCCCCCCCAACCGCCCGGGCTCCAGAACGTGCCCACCACAAGTTCACGGAGAGGCTGCCTCTTCCAGGGCCCAGGATTCCAGGCAAAGTGGGGCCACGCTTTGGACGCAGCACCAAACCACAAAGGGTGAGCACAGCTCCCCAGGCCAGGCGTCGTGCTCACGAGAGCTGTGAGAAGAGGGCGGCAGGGCTAGTCTCCCCTCGCAAGGAGGGGATGGGCGACGGGCCCCACGGCACAGCAGCAGCGAGCGCTGGGGGTCGGGGCTGGCCGGCAGGCCATGTGCCGGGGAGGCCGTACCGGGGTTGAAGAGGACGATGGCGCGCAGGCAGCCCAGCTCCGTCTTGTCCATCTGCATGTCCCGCATCTTGGACACGAGCTCCGTCAACACCCTGCAGAGGAAGCGGGCCACCACCGCCGTCCTGTCAGACTGCACCCCCCGCCTGGACGCCCCCTGCCCGAAAGACCCTAAGGACAGGCTCCCCACGGCCTGAGGCCAGGCCCTACGGCCCACGGGAGAGCTGTTCTCCCCAGGACATGGCCTTCCTTCCTCCCACCTAGCTGCTGGGCAAGGAGACGCTTCGCTTCTTGTTACCAGACACTCGTGGCCAAAGCAAGCCGTGGCTCCTTGTCAGAGGGCAGGCTCTGAAGCACCCCCGCTGGCCCAGCCCCTGTGGGCAGTGGTGTCCGTCTGTCGGCAGCACCCTGCGGCTTGAGCTCCCCGATCTCCCCTGCCAGCTCACGGGCCCCCAGCTCCCCGATCTCCCCTGCCTGCTCACGGGCCCCCAACTCCCCGATCTCCCCTGCCTGCTCACGGGCCCCCAGCTCCCCGATCTCCCCTGCCGGCTCACGGGCCCCCAACTCCCCGATCTCCCCTGCCGGCTCACGGGCCCCCAAACTCGACAGCCGTGCCCAGGGAGGGCGAAGCGGTCGGTGAGACTGGACAGGGGAACGAAGGACGGTGGCCCAGGGAGGGCCTGGACGGTCACCCCGCAGAGCCGGGGAGTCCCCGACGGTTGGCAGGCAGCACAGGGAACAGATCCCTGGGAGCCTGGAGGTCAGAGTCAGAGGGGATGGGTGCTCCAGAGGGTGCCCCGAGGCCACAGTCCCGTTCTGTCCACTCAGAGGGCAAGGAGGAGCTGGTCGTCCCTGATGTCACCTGCTGGGGTCCAAGCGCGCCCCTCTGCCACCGTCGCCTCCCTCCCTAGCAGCTGGAAACAGATGGGCAGCTCGGAGCATGGCGGGGGCCACGGCTCTAAACCAGATCCCAGGAAGCCGTACTTTCTAGAGGCCTCTGTGGACACCACGGCGCAGCCCTCCTAACCGCACACGGTTTCAAGGAAAGGAGCTGGAGGAGACCGATCTGCTCGTTCCGCTGCGCACTGGGTGTCCCCAGCACAGGGACTTGCAGAGGCGAGAACCTCGCCCTCCTACGTCCACATCGACACCCTCCGGGGACAGAACGGGCCACGAACCCGGGCGGGGCCCCCACCTGTCAAAGATGGCGCCCACCCCCGCGCTGTGGGCGCTGTTCCGGTGGACGTGCAGCCCGGTGGCCAGGAGGATCCCGTCCTTCACGGCGATGGACCGGTGGGAGAAGGAGGCGATGAGCAGCTCATTCCAGCCTGGGGGGAGGAGGGGGCGTGGTCACACGGGGGTTCCTTCCCCGGACGGGCTGCCACTCAGCCTCCACAGGCAGCATGCACCGTCGCAGAATGTCCCACAGGGGGTTCCGGGGACCCCACATCCCGGGGGTGTGGCACAGAAACGCTCCTGAGCACCAATGTTGAGGACATGCCTCTTCCTTCTGTGGTGCAAACTCGGGCAGTAAAGGCCCCGAGAAGTCCCGCACAGAGCATCTTCTTTGGCTCTATGTAACCCACGTGCTCCCCAACCCCACGCGTCCCGGGAGGTCCCTTCCCACACAGGCAGGACGCTCGTGCCACGGAGGATGTGGGGATCCTCTCTGGGACGGCCACGGAGGAGCAGCCGCCCACTGGTCTCAGCGGCAAACTCTCCAGTTACTGCGTACTACGTGGGGCACCATAAAATAATAAATTCTTAAATTAAAACAACGCATCTCAGAGCCTCGGGCAGACGGGACACTCCCTCTCTGTGAGCTCCCAGCAGAGACAAACCGGAGGAGGTGTCCAGGGTTAGGAGAAAGTATGGAAGCAAAACTTGAAATAGAAATGATTTCTGTGCCAGGTTCTCAATGACTCCCGTGAACAGGAGCCCCAGGCCACCTCCACAGAGATGGCCCTGTCCACAGCCACACTCCCGGGGCCCGAAGGCTCTGGGCTCCGTGGCACAGCGTCACACAGGCTACCCCACCTCCTACCAACCACAGTCCTACAGAACTATAGCCCCATTTTCCAGAAGGAGAACCTGAGGCCTGGTGCAGGGTAGAGCTCACCCCATCACACAGGGAATCAGGAGCCCCGGCCCCTGTCACCTTCGCCTCGTGGCTCTGGGTGTCAGGTGTTATGCCCCAGCTGGAGGCACCCACAAGGCCAGGGACGAGAGTCCTGCTGCGGGCCAAGCTGGCCCCAAGAGCATGTCCCCCCACGGCAGGACCACTCTGCATCACTCTGCCTCTCCCTGCCATCCCCCTCCCCCGGGGCCTGCCCAGAGTCCTCCTACCTCTGGGCCGGCTGCCACCTCTCCTGATGCCCCAAGCGCACCCAGGGCCCAGCAGGCATGGGGCAGGGCTGCCCTCGGACGTTCCCACGCACCAAGCACGTGCAGACGGCCCGGCAGGGCAGGAGGCCGGTGGGGTGGGAGTGCTCCCTGCTGCCACACCCCCAAAGGCCTAGCACCCCCAAAGGCCTAGCACCAAAGGCCTAGCTGGCGACCCGCCCCTCCTGTCCCTCCAGCAGGAACCCACACTCGGCATGCCTGGAGCGTGTCGGGAGCCAGGCCTGACCCGAACCCCAGAGTCTGTGCTCCTACCCCTGCCCCCTCCACAGTCCCCATGTGAGGAGCAGAGGCCTCAGTGCATGGAGAGGTCGGAGCAGAAACCCTCTAGGGCGGCCTCTCCGGAGGTCCCCAGACAGCCCCTGCCCCTCCGAAAGCCACTTAGAGACCCGAAACCAATGACCTCCTTGTGGGTGGGGGGAGCAATGCCAGAGGACGGCAGAGCCAGGCGGGAGCCCCACACTGCAGGAGAAAGGGGTGTCCCCCAGGTCCCCGCCCTCTGCCCCCGACCCTTCCCTGCCAGGGCCAGCCCAGTCACTCACCTGCCCTCAGCAGGATGACCTGGTCGTCCAAGGGCAGCTCAGAGAAGTGCGGGACCCGCTTGGCCCACTCGACCAGCGTGAAGAGCTGCTTGTCCGCGGCCTGACAGATGTTGGTGACGGGGTCGTTGGGCTGGGCGGGGAGAGGCACCCACTGAGCGCCCGGCTGAGAGCACGGCCCAGACCGGGCCCCCGCTGCATGTGCTGCCCCAGCCCTGGGCAGAAGATCGGCCCCAGGGCCTGTGTCCTTGCGCCCCGAGCCCGTGGCTAGTGCTGCTTTGCACCCCCCTCTGTGGGCAAGATCTAGGGAGGGTTTGAGGGGGGTCCGGGGTCATCACGGGGTCCCCAAGGAGGGAAGCAGGGGTCAGAGACGGGAACCTGTGAGCAGGAGAGAAGCTGCCAGCTTGACCCTGGAGGAGGGCCCAGGCCAAGGAGGCGGCACCTCCAGCAGCGGGAAGGGAAGGGACGTTCTCCCCAGAAGGAACCAGCCCTGCCCACACCACGACTCTCGTCCCGGGACGCTGCCTGTGGACTTCGGACCTCCAGGACTGTAAGACACTAAAATCACTGCTGTGGGAAGCCCTAGGCGTGGGGGCCGAGTGCCCCCAGTCAAAGGTGGGGAAACGGAGGTGCGGGCGTGAGTGCCAGGCTGGGGCGGGACTCGGAGGACGGCGGCCAGTGCCGGCCCCTCTAGGCCACTTCTTCCTACCGGGTGTGGAGACAGCACACAGAAGGGGGCATCAGAGGCCCTCCGGGAAACTTCTAGCCAAAAGAGACTCTCCCCTCATTGTCACAGATGAGGAAACCCAGGCAGGCCTCAGGGGAGCCCCCTCCCGGCTCCTGACCAGCGGACCCTCTGGGTCCTGAGCGAGGGGGAGGACGACAGCCACACACGATGGCCGGGGCATCCTCTGAAGAGCTCCCCTGCCTTAACAGGAAACACCTGGCGTACAGGGAGGCTCCGTCCGAACGCCCGGGGCCCGCGGGAAGGGCCCGCCGAGGGTGCGTGTGGGACGCCTGGTAACATAGTGGCACAGAGCCCACAGGGTTGGAAGAGGCTGGGGTGTGCAGACGGGGACACGGAGCTGCACACACAGGCGTCAGCCAGGGTTTCTGGGGCACAAGGGACCCCCAGCCCAGGGTGCCAACACCCAGAGTGCCCCCCACACTGGCCCTCACCCCGAGTCCCTCCTCCATCCCCAGCAGCAGATTCAGTGCAATCCAGAAGCCCGGGGCCCCGTGCCCCAGCCCCACACCCCCGTGGGGGCTCCCCCCACCCCATGATTCACGCGGGCACAGGGGCCAGCCCGCACAGAGTCCCCGCGTGAGACACACCCAGCAGCCAGCACGCCAGACGCCAGGGCTGGGTTCTAGTGTGTTCCACCATGGCCAGACTCTGCTCCTCAGAGGCTCAGGGCAGCCCCGTGCGGGGAGAGCCCGGGCCCGGGCAGGAAGGCGGGCACATGCTGGGCACCAGATGACGCGTGTTCCCCGCTCAGCCAGCCCCTCTGTGGGTCCACACCAAGGAGCAGAGGGCAGCCTGGCTGTTCCTAAGAATGTCCTGGCTTAGCAACCCTCTGCCCCCCTCCCAGTTCTTTCTGGAGTTCCTGTGCAATCATGAACGCCTCGAAGCTGGCCTCCCCTCCCCTCACTGGGACTGCAGGGGTCGGCCCGTGTGCACCTTCTCCCTGACAGGGCACGGATCTGAGGGGGCCGCGGTGTGCAGGGAAGTGCAGGGAAGCAGGGACGGCCCATTACCAGGCCACAGGCGCCTGGCGAGCACACGGGACCCTCCCAGCCTGGGCTCTGTGTGAGTGCCCACGGGCAGGTGGGGTCCTGGCTGGAGCTGGGCCGTGACCAACCACCACCTCCAGGCACGTGGCAGGGCGGGAGTTAACACACCACACGCCCCACTACTGGCTGCCGCACGCTGGGGGACAGGAAGGAAGCTCTGTGCCCCGTCATGGGGCCAGACCCACCTTTGCAGGGCCATGAAGGCAGGCCGGCGGGAAAGGGGCCCCTGGGAAAAGGGACACCTCGGACCCGACAGAAGCCTGAGGAGGAATCAGGGGGAGCCACACGTGCAAAGGCCCTAGAGTTGGGGGGGCCCAAGCTGGGCGTGTCCAGCACGGTGGGGGCTGCTCTGGGCCAGGTGGAGGACAGAGGGAGGGAGGCTGCTGTGACTTCAGGGCCAGTCACAGGGCTCTGATCCCAGCCCTGACCCCACAAGAGGGCACAGGTGAAACCACCCCTCGGCCTGCACGCCTGGGGCAGGTACAGGACTCCCGAGACCCAGCTGAGCAATGGCCCGAGGCCACAAGGAGCCGGACAGCACGTGCTGTGTCCTGGCGTTCAGTGCAGCCCACGACAGCTTGGGCCTCCTATCCAGCACCACCTACCAGGGGCCAATGGTCCCCGAGCAGTGCCGGCCCTGCCGCCCTGGGGGAGGCTGTGTGTGCAGGGGTGGAGCTCACCGAGTTGGGGTTCAGCCCCATGTTTGCGTCCACATACGTCTCGGTCTTGGGCTCGACAGCCAGCTCCGCCTCCAGAATCTTCTCCACCGGCATGTCCTCGTTGGCGCTGCTCGTGGACTCCACCTCGTTCTCGTTCCTGTCCTTGCCCCGCTGTCTCTCCTCCTGTACGGCTGCAGGGGCGGGGGGGGTGGTGGTGGCGGTCAGCCCGCGACTCCCTCAGCCGTCAGGAACCCAGCAGCACCAGCCCTGAGCCAGCGCGCCCACCGGGGCCACAGAGGGAGGCACGGCTCAGAGCTGGACGAACCCCTGCCCCATCTCTGCCCCAGGTCTGGCCTCCAGCAGCCATGCATGCCCAGAACACAGGGTACACCCGCCCTACATTAATCCACCCAACACACCGGCCCACACCAGCACCCGTCCAGGGCCAGGCGCACAGCGGCCAGAGTACACAAGGCTGCTCTCACGCAGCTGACCGGTGGCTTGGCAGCACTCCCAGCATGCAGTGAAAAGAGCTTCAATGGACTATGGACTCAAACAAAACCAGGAAGGCTTCCTGGAAGAAGTGGCAAAAAAAGACAGGTAACAGTTCAGGCAGAGGAGGCAGCATGTGCAAAGGTCCAGAGCCGGAACAGAGCCGCTCCTGATGAATGGAGACCTCTGCCACTGGCTGGAGAACCACTGCGGGGGGTACCAGTGGCGGGCAAGAGGCAAGTTCCTGCACAGGGTCTGACGAGCCACAGGAGAGAGACAGCACAGCACACGCGTCTCCAGCTGTAGAAAGAAGAAGGGTCCCAAGGGAGACCAGAAGCTGGAGGCCAATCCCGAGTGTGAGCCAGGATGCCCTGGGCTGGCCTGGTGGGGGTGGGGGGGAGGGCTGAGCACGGGGGTGGTCAGAGGATGGTCAGGGGGTGGCCCAGCAGGGAGGGAAGCCTATGCAGGGAGGCAGAGAGGCAGAGACAGAGGCATTGACTTCCAAGCAGCCGCACGGAGCCCCACGTGGACAGGTCTGCTTACAGACCTTGGGCCACGGACCCCACCCCCCAGAGTCCCACTAGCACCTGACACGGCTCCTGAGGTGGCTGCGGCCCCCCAGGCAGACCCCCATCTCCTCCCCTCTGCTCTGGTACGAGCACCAAGGCCCTGGACGGGGGCAAACAAGTCAGCAGCGGGGAGAAGCGCACGGGCCCGGAAGCGCTCTCTACGTGGCGCTGGTCAAGCCTGAGCTGGCTAGGCTCCGGGGGCCCCCAGAGGCCGTCAAAGCAGCACCAGAATGGGCCTCCCCCAAGGCCACTCAAGCCCACCCTCTACAGTCATGCTCTCCTGAGCCCCAGCCGTGTTGACAGGCCCCAGCACCAGACCCCTGGGGTGGCCACGGCTTCCGCAGGGCCAGCTCCCTGCCCCTGCCCCAGACAAGACCCTCGGCTTCTTGGGGCCCCTGGAGACCCCATCACCAAGTGGGAGCTTGGTGAGGGGACTCAGAGACCTCTGTCCACATGCCCATCCCAGAGGAGAGGAAGAGCCTGGAAATGGCCCCGTGCTGCAGAGCCCAGGGGCACTGATGAAGCTGGGCCCACTCCAGGTCCGGAAGGCTCCTCGTCAGTGAGGACCCACACGCCAGGCCTGGGTCCCTCGCAGCACCCCAAGCAGCTCCGGCCGCTCATCCCCTTACCAGAAACCCCAGGGCTCAGAACAGGGCAGGTGCTGGCAGCAGCCGTTCTCAGGAGACGGCCCCGGGCAGCCCCTCCTCCAAAGACCACTGCCAGTGGACCCCTCTGCTGGGCCAAGCACCCAGCACACTCCACGGGCCCTGCAGAGCCTTCAACTCGACAGACACCCAGACCACCCGATCGGAGCTCAGGCCACGTGGCAGCAGCTCCCACCACCTCCCGGACCCTCACCACCCCGTCCCTGATCGCACTCCGAGCTGCACCTTGGTGAGGGTCTGGTACACAGCCCGCTGCGGGGGGCCCCAGGGCAGAGCACGGAGATCACACACAGTGACGTGCACGGGAGGCCGAACCCGCCCAGGGCAGAGAAGCCGGCTCAGGTCGGCGGAGTCCGACAGCTGTAGGGCCTCTGGCCCAGCGCCCAGCTTCCGGCCAGCCTGGAGGTGCCAGCTCAGCCAAGGAGCCTCGAGGCCTCCCAAGGACCGGCCACACGCTGGTCCCTCTCTCCCTCCACCGAGCCTCCCTTAGGCCACCTCCCACTCCCTATCCCTGACCCATGGCAGACAGACATCCCCAAAACCAGGTTGGAGCCCCAGTCCCTGCAGAGCCACAGCCTGGCACCCCGCCCTCGCCCCTCAAGCTCCCGTGGGACTCCACACTCAGTGCCCTCTTTCCGGGTCCAGCATCCTGGGGCAGGGCCTTCTGGAGAGCAGAAGATACAGCCCCTCCCGGGGCTTCCTGAGTGCGACGCCCCTGGGTCTTAGGCGGGGCTGGGCCTCCTCTCTAGGGGCCTGACATCTCTGGGGAACACACACAGTACCCCCTCCCTGAAACCCCGGGCCCACCCCCCGGCTCTGGCTCTAAGGGCCCAGACTAAGGCTGTCTGACCCATCCCTCTCCCCTTTGGCTCCACGCTGGCTTTGGCAAACGCTGAGGCACCAGCAGGAGGGCGGAGGGCGGGAGGACGGGTGGCACGGCTCTGGCACCCTCTCTGCCCAGCCTTGGCTCCCAGCTGTCCCTTCTTCCTGCACCGCAGCTCCCGGGTTTGGCCAGTCCTCGCTGCCCTCACACCTCCAGCCCAGGGGTGCGGGGGTCCCCAATGGTGCTGGCCCCAGGGGTCCCCCAGGCCTGTCTGGTTCCCACGATATGGCCCACAGCTCCCTCACAGTCCACATGAACACCTCTCGACCACCCGTGGGCCCCTGAGGGCAGGCCCCATGTCCCTCGTGCACTGACAAGTGGCTGTCCAGGCCCAACCCCGAGCCAGAGGCTACGCTCTCCGGGACCCAGAGCATGGACCCAAGCGAGGGACTTGCCATCCACACAGCAAGTCTCAAGGATGGGTCAGCCAACACCTTCATGCCACAGTAGCTGGGCCAGGAGCCCCGGCAGGAGGCCCCAAGTCAGAGCCGCTGCGAGCCCGGCTCTTCCACAGACTCTGACAGCAGGGGTGTCCGCGGGGGGCTCGAGCCGGCATGGCTGTGGCCGGCTGCCCGTCCTCTGGCCCCTCTCCAGCCAGGCCTCCAGACGCCAACAGGGGGCGGGGGCTGGGCCCCTCGTTGGTCCCCCCTCAGCCACAGGGGATGAGAGTCCAGGACAATCACCCAAGCCACATGGCCAGCAGCCAGGGTGACACACCCGCGTCCAGGCAGGCCCGTGTCCCTGAGACCCCGAGGATGGGGTGGTCCTCAAGGTCTGTGCTCTGGGCAGAACCTGAAGCTGTTAGAGCCAGGATGCTGCAAGAGGCACCTCGTCTTACCAGCTGGGGCGACAGGCCCTCAGCAGCCGAGGGGCCCAGCTGAGCTCACGGGACAGTGGGCGGCTCCAGGCTCAGGAGTCGGGCAGCCCGGCCTCCTGGGTCCCGCCCCGCCCTGGACAGCCCTGTGGCCCCGCTTGCTCGGCCCTGGAGCGGGGAAGCACGGCGCTGGCCCGGGCGGGACCCACGAGGCGCTCACACCTCCGTGCCTTCTGCTCCCACACTCCTCACACGCGGCCAGTGGTGGGTCTCCTCCCACTGCACAGACGGGACGGACGCGGTGGCCCCAAGGCGGGGGCAGCACCCAGAGCGGCGCGGGGTGGAGGTCCCCAGCACCTGCCTCCTCCGTGGGGGCGGCGCGAATTAATGAGCCAACGCTCCGTGAGGCACTTTGAAGCCGTGGAGGGCCGGCAGCTCCACACGGCATCATTATAAATATTATGGTTTTATTTATAGACACGGAGGGGGCAGGAGGGAGCCTGGGGACTTACGTCTTGCCAGCTCAATCACCTTTCAGATAGAGTCATGTCTGCCTTACGCTGTGCTGGCGCTGGGAAGCCGCACGCAGGAGGCGTCCGCGAACGCAGGGCCTCATCACCCCCCAGGCGCGAGCGCTGCGGGACCCGGGAAGACCACAGAGGCACAGGCTGGGAGGGGGGTCCACACCCAACGAGACCAGGGTCCCCGGCATCTGGGGAGATGCTGATGTGGGGGTGGGGGGGCAGCAGTCCCTCGGCCAGAGCAGGCCACCCCGGTCCTGGTGCCCTCCGCCACCCCTCCAGGCTGCTGGGCTGGGCAGGAAGCCAGGACGTGAGAAGCGGGTGTCTCTGGAAGGCAGCACCCCAGCCTGCTGCCAGCTGGCTGGGCCCTTCCTCTGTCCCGTGTGCGGCCCCAGGACAGGCAGGACTGACGGCACAGAGCCCCTTCGTCCGACCCAGAGAAGGGACTATCCCGCCGACCGGCTCTCTAGCTCAGCGGACACATCCCTCCCGCTCTCCGGGCACTCAGTCCAGGACAAGGTGTCGGCATGTGGGAGTGACCCCGCACATGCTCTCTCTCTCTCTCTCTCTCTCAGACACACACACACACACACACACACACACACACACACACACACACGATCTCCGCTCTCCACCCCACACCACCGCTGCCCCGTTCCTCCCAACGAGCCCGCAGGGAGCCGCTGTGCCGCCATGGTCACCTGCGGAAACAGGCACAGACGAGGCAGTCACCCACTCGATGTCGCCGGGGTAGTGCGGGAACCCAGCTGGGCTCTTAGTCCGCAGCAGGAATGTGTGGGGCGCTTGTGCACGCACACACACAAGCACACACACACACACGTGCAAACACACGCGCACGCACACACACGCACACACACACACGCGGTCAGGAGACGGAGCTCGGAAAGCAAAGGGAGGCAGGAAGGAAGCGGGGAGAGGCCTTCCTGGAGGGAAAGAAGGAAGCAGAGAGGCGGGCAGCGGGGCGGTCCTCCAGCCTGGGCAGGCGTCACCCCAGGGGGGGCCAGGCCCCCCATCAGACCAGAAGCGCCAGCAGCGCCCCCCACCAGCCCTGCCACCATGCGCTCCAGCAGACAGGCCCGGGCACAGCCTGGCCGGCGGCCGGCATTCCCACCGGGGCCGCAGCCCCCGCCTCCCCGGGAATGCGGCTGAGCGAGTCCCAGGCCGGTGCTTGTGTACGCAGGCCCCTGCATTGCCCAACAGAGATGCTATCTGCCGGCACCAAGGAGGGGTCTCTGTCCACTCTGAGCCAGAGCAAGCCCCTCCTGAGCTCTCCCTGAGGGTCAGCCAGTCCGGATGCCAACCCCGAGCTGCTCCCTCCCGCGCTGCACTGGGGGACACCGTCTGGGTGCAAGCCCGCTTCCTCGCCCGTACCGGGGCCCTGATCACAAGCTTCCCTGCAGGGCCACGCAGCCCAGGCCAGCCTGGAAACCAACACCTCCCATCCTCCATGCTCCAGGCCAAGCCCGGCGTGGCTCGCCCCCACTCCCCTGGGTGCCACGCTGCCCTGCTGTTGGCAGGCCCCCAGCTTGTCGCCGAGACAACAAAGAGGAAAGGAGCAGTTTCAGGACCAGTTCCGGGGGGACGGGGTAGTTCCCAGCACCCAGCTACAGGCCCCGGGGCCTGGGAGACCCTGGAGCTCCCTGCTGGACCGGCTCCAGAGTCACACTGGGGCCACTGGTCACTCACTCAAGACAGAGGCTGTGCACTGGGCCCCGAGCACTGGGCAAGCACAGGGAAGGGGCCCAGCTGTGTGCTGCTGTGCTTCGGGCAGGAGAGAGCTCCGTGGGAGGGTTTTTACTGTGCGTTGTGACTTATAAATCCGATACAAGGCAAGAAAGAGGTGGGCCCTGCCGGGATCAGGTATTTATCTAACGGCCCATGACTCAGGTCTTGAGGGCCGTGTGCTGCCTCAGGAACGCACCCAAAGCCCCAGACTCATCCATCAGATGAGAGAGCGAGGCGAGAGACACAGGCTGGTGAGACTCCGGACCGAGCTGACGGGGGCAGCCCGGACCCCTCCCCCCACAACCTCTGCAGCCCGTCTGTCTCCGAGAAGCCCAGCAGCAGGGCAATGGGGCAGGGTGCCCAGTGAGGCCCTCCACACAACACCCTGTCCCCGTGGGCACCAGGGCAGGGGCCAGACCAGGCCTCTTCCACCCTGGGACCCTGGAGCTGCACTGCGGCAAGAGGGCATCACCCAGTCTCTCCCGGGACAGGCTGGGGGGGGGCGGCAGCCGGAGTCTGATGGTGCCCAGGCTCTAAGCAGCCAGGCTGAGGGGGCTTGAGGAAGAGGTCAGCATCTCCGGAGCCATCCAGGGACCTGGGGGGGAGGGTCACTCTCTGGGGCCTGGAATGGCATCCGGGCCTCGCAGAGCAGCTCTACTGGCTCGTGTTCTTGGCCTCAGCACACACACGCCCTCCGGCTGGGCTCACACTCTCCGTACACCCTGCAGTCTTAGGGCATCAAGCTGGACGTCAGCCCGCAGCTGGGTTCCCCGACCGACACTGACCACACCGGGGTGGGGGGGCGCTGCCTGGTAACGTGACAGTCGTGGTCAGTGGACGCCTGCCCACAGCTCAGTGCTCACGCCCAGCACCCAGCGTGGCGCCTGGCACCAGAACTGAGCTTGGCAAGCAACCGGTCTCGGGCACTAACCCAGGCTCGCCCTGTGCGAGGCTGTCCTCGAGGGAGCCCGAGCCTCCCACAGCATGCCAGCACCCAGCCCTCTGCCCAGGCCCCACACCTAGGCACACACCGGTCTACTGCCTGCGACACGCTTGCCCTGCCCGAGTTCCTGTCCCAGCAACAACGCTGCATGGACCTCCCCCAGCAAGGCCTCCCTGATTACAGGGGCATCCGGAGGAACCGGGGCCAGGTGTACACGTCCTCTGGCTGGGCACGTGCTTCCTCGACCCAGGATAGCCTGAAGGAGGGCAGCACTGGGAGCCAGACACCTGCGTCCCACCTGGCATGCAACCTCAGACAAGCCCTGGACCCTCTGGGCTTCAGCCTCTCCACCTGCACGAGGAAGAGTAGGTGGGCCGAGCAGTACAAGGAACAGGCACCCCGACCAGAAGGCCTGGGGGCACACACCCGCATGGACAGCGCCGGCCCCCGCGGCTCGCCTTGCCGGGAGCGGCGCCATGTCCTGCTTGTGCCCTGCGGCCCGGAGCAGGACCGCACGGCCCGTCTGGGTCTCAGCTTCTCCCCAAGAATCGTGGAGCTAAAAGAGGAAATGAGACGAGAACCACAGGCACCACAGGTGACAGTCCTCAGCGGCGGGCCACCAGCCTGGGGACCCCGTCAGGAGCAGCGGCGGCACAGACGGGAGCAGACACAGAGCCCCTGATTCCAGAGAGCACCTCCCCAGTCCCACGAGGCCCTGGGTACGAGCGCCAGCGAGATGGGCCCCCCGCCCGCTGCATCTGAGCACAGGAGCAGAGTGTAACCCAGGGAAGGAATCCAGCAGGACACAGCGGTCGGCAAGCCTGCAGATGGGGAAACTGAGGCCCACAGCGAGAGGCTGGACAGAGGGAGGTCACACTGCCACGCTGGGGCCAAGGGCTCGGGCCCAAGTCTGGCTGAGTCACTTAACAAGTTCAATGGCCTCAGGGGAGTGACCTTCCATGCCAGCTGTCCCCCTGCCCTGCCCCTAATAAACGCTGTCCATAAAGCGGGCCCCCATACCCAAGCCTGAGAGTCCGACTGCTCTGAGGACCCGGGGAGCCTTCGCCAGGTGTGCAGAAGGAAGAGGGGCCCAGGGCAACCCCGGCACTCGGCGAGCTCGGGGACACCCGCTCGGTCTCCGGAGCATCCTGCTCAGGACACACAGGCACCCGTGACCCTGGGCTCCTCCCGCCCCAGCCCCACCTCCCACCTCGGCCCTCGCAGTGCTTCTGCCCTTGCCCGGCGCCCCGGAAACCACGCACCGGGTTGCCATGACCTCATGGCATGACCATGAGGAGGGTTCGATCGGCGCGAGTCCACCAACGGGCTAGAAGGACGGACGCGGGCCCCTCGGTGATCCCGGGCACGCAGCAGGTGCAGGGAAGGTGGAGCAAAGCCCGCCGCGCAGCCACAGGTCCTGCAGGGAGCGAGCACCCGGGCAAGCAGGCCGCGGCGCCGCACCACCCCCCGCCCGGCCAGTGCCCGCGCCCACCTTCCCGCTTCATGCCCATGGCCAGGCACTTCTGGTAGCGGCAGTACTGACAGCGGTTCCGCTGTCGCTTGTCAATCAGGCAGTCCTTGTTGTCCCGGCACGTGTAGGTCAGGTCCTTGCGCACCGTCCGCTTGAAGAAGCCCTTGCAGCCCTCGCAGCTGTAGACCCCGTAGTGCTTGCCTGCGGGGAGAGGCCCCCGTGACCACGCCGCCCCGGCCAGCCTCCCACCTCCCTGTGCCCCGCCTGTGGGGTCCCACGGTGCCGCGGCGTCCTACCTGAGGAGCGGTCCCCACAGATGGCACAGATGTGCTTAGTGAAGGACGCCATGTTCCCTGAGGGGTGGGCCGGGACTTTGAGGACACCATTGAGGCCCAGGGGGGGCTTGATGTCCTCGCTGCTGCTGACGGGGTTCATGGGTGAGCTGAGCTGAGGAGGGAAAAGCGGGGGTGTCTGGGGGGCACGTGTCAGCACGCTCCCCCGCACCCGCCCCACGGTCAGGGAGCCACCAACGTAACCCCACTTTACAGAGAGGGAAACCGAGGCTCGGGGGGGGTGCCCTGCCTGCCACAGGCCACACAGCTCAGGAGGGGCAGGGCCCACCTGTGCTGAGCGGCCACCAGGCTTCGGGGGACTGCTCTGCCCACAGCCGACCCAGACCTCAGGGGAGGACCCCTGCGGCCCTGCTCATGCCCCTGCCCCTCGCTCAGCTAAGAACTGCCCCCCATTACTGCGCACGCCCTGGACAAGACTGCATGAACTCGCCACCGTCTCCGTGAGGCAGGCACTTGGGGGAACCCCGACCCACAGATGGTGGGTGCCGAGGCCTGGTCCCAGCAGACCAGAGAGTCGGGGTCCATGCAGCAGGCCACCCTGCCGGGGCCGCAGGGATCAGAGTGGGGGTCCCGGGTCATGTGGCTCCAGGCGTGCAGGGCCAGGCCAGAACCCCTCGGCGCCCAGCCCCGCCCCTCCTGGAGGAAGCGTGGGAAACTCACCAGTCACCCGGCAACAGCTGGCGGCGGTGACACAGCGGTGACACAGCAGTTTTGGTTCTGCTGCGTCCAGTCCAGGGCTGCTGTCAGCACCCAGAGACGCTCCCCACAGCAGCCCACAGGCCGGCCCGTCTCCCCCGGTGCCGGGACCCCAGACGCGCAGCACCCCCGCACCCCCACTTCTGCAAACCCGGCGGAGGCGGAAACCGGATGGTGCGGGCGTCCGTGGGGCAGGGCGGCGGGCGCCATGCTGCCCCCTGGTAGCCCTGGGCCCCTCCTGCCAGCGGGAACCTCGGCTCCTTCCTTCCCCACGGCCCCCAACCCCCCCCGCCCCTTTCCTCAAGGGGCAGGAAGAGCGTGGGCTCAAGGCACACGAAGCAGAAACCACCCAAAGCCTCCTTCCGCGGGGGCCTCCGTGCGGCCCCCGGCCCGTTCTCGGTCCTGGGCCGAGCGGCTCCATGAGGACGCTTAACCCCGCAGGACCAGGGTGGGGCATCACGAAGAACAGAGCAGCCCCCCGGGCAAGGCCAGCAGGCCCACTTGCTCCGTCCCCAGGTGCCAGGAGCGCCCCCCAGGGAAGACAGGGGCCTGAGCAGGGGCGCGGTCTGTAAGAGCCCCAGCACCCACGCCGGGTTCATGTGCGCACCCCTCAGAGCGCGGGAACGCCCCCCCGACCCCCATTTCCCGGGTTGGGGGACTGGCGGAGCAGCAGGTGAAGCTGAGGCCTCAGAGTGGCAGGTGGTGAGCACCGAGGAGACCCCCGAGTGCTGCAGAAGGGGAAACCGAGGCCCCAAGAGACTGGCTTGTCCACAGCCGCTCGGTGACCCCAACCAGGCGGTCAGAGACGCGGTGCCACGGAGCTCACAGGCCGGTGGGTACAGGGGAGGAGCGGGGTAGGGGGAACAGTGCAGCTTCAGCAAGGCCTCCAAATCACATCCCCTCCATTCATTGTGCGCCTTTGGGGAAATCACTGTCATTCTGCCCGTGAGGTCACTGGTGTGCGGGACTAAGGGCTGCTGGCCGCATAGCCGAGCGGACACCCGGGCAGCTGCCTCAGTGCTCGGCCTCCAGGAGGGGGCGCCGCCAGCTGGTCCCCATGACCCACCTGCAGGGAGCCACCCAGGACACGAGAGCAGGAGGCCTGTCCCTGTGCTGTGGGAGCCTGGGCAGGTCTCCGTGTGGCTGGGTCCACTTGGGAGCACAGGGAGAGGAACCTGGGCATTTCCTCTTTCACGCTTGCCCACAGCATGCTGGGCAGATAGTGGGCCACCTGCCCTCCCAGCCTCCCATGTGCATGCAGGCCCTAGGGACTGGTGCTTCCCCTGGGTAAACTGAGGCAGGGCTGCAGCAGAGAGGAGGCTGGCCGGGGACCCACATGGGAAGGAGCCACAGGCAGGACGGACGGTCAGTGATGTGGCCCCGGACCACGTGCCGGGGCATCCCTGCCCTCCCGGGCCTAGGCTTCCCACGAGGAAAGTAGTCGTCCGAGGAGCCCCTGCACGTGTAGGGAGACGAGGGCTGGGCCGGAGACCCCACTCAACACAAGCTGCCCACTTCGTTTCTTTGCCTCAACTAGTACGTGGTCCCCATAGGGCCACCAGGGCAAGGCTGTTGGGGTTGGGCTCGCTCTCCACACCGCTCCCCCTGCCCAGCTCCAAGCTGATGGGCCTTGGCTGGGTTCACAGCTCCCGGACAGAGGACAAACCGATTCCCGGGGCCTTGTTCTACCTTGCACACACCCCTCCCCAGCCCCCCACCTACGAGGGGCTGCTCCCCTCCTGTAGCCCACCCCACCCCACCTCTGAGGAGACCCACGGTGCCAGGAGCCCCACGCTGGAGCCCGATGGCCGCGTGCTGTGGCCAGGGTGGGGGCCCGTCTCGTTTCCCCTTTCAGACCCTGGGCATCTATTTCAGTTCCCACCGGAGCCTCCAGGACTTACTAAAATCGCCACCTGCCTCCTCCATGCCCCACCAGGGTCTCCTGTCGCCTCACGAGGCTCCTCTCTTCCGCGCCCACCACGCCCTTCCTCCGGAGCCCACGGCAGGCCCTCCCCACCAACCCACGGGGGAGGCCATCACCCACAGCCAGAAGCGGGGTTGAAGGCTCAGGCCCGCCACACACGGAGCAGGTCCTCGGCCTCGCCGGCCTCACGCTGCCAGCAAGGCAGGGGCAAACCCTGCAGCATGACCCACCTCACCTGGTCGCCCCGTCCCAGAGCCTCACAGCCACAGGACCCCTCAGCACTGGCCGCCCCGCTGGCCCGAGGGGATCCCGCACCGGGGAAGCTTCGCTGGGCTGGAGACGGCTGGACGCGGGGCTGCCCACGGTGGGCCAGGTGCAGCGGGCAGGCTCTGGGACGAGTGGGGGACGCTCCTGGGCCTGGCGCTGATGGAGCCCCCAGACCAGGAAGAGATGCGGGGCCGTTTGGGCACTCGGCCCAGCTCACACAGCGGGCCAAGTGGGGTGGGCTCGGGTGTTGACTCCCCCTTCCCTCAGCGCTGTGGGCTCGAGCGGGCAGCCCTCCGCAGAGCGCTGGGCCTCCCCCAACAACAGCAGGGAACCTCCCTGTTCTGGCAACCATGACTTCGCGGTTGTGGTTTGGGGAGGGGGTGGGGCATGCCCCCCTTTGAACTCCACCCACATGACCATGAATATGGGGAACCCCAGGTCTCCGAGACAGGCTGCTGAAACTCAGAAGCTGCGCTCGCTCCAGGAAGGAGCTACGGGGGCGTGGGGCTGGCGGCAGGGTTCAGGGGAGACGGAGGCCCACCCGGGAAGGGCAGCCAGAGAGGCCAAGCACGGCGGGGGGAGGGGTGCACAGACTGTGGCAGAGCTCACTGTGGCCCGCCTGACGGACTGACGCACAGACAGATGGGCGGCCGACCACAGGGCAGTAATGAGCATCTGGGACACAGATTTGCTTCCGGCCCTGCCCCGGGCCCAACTCTTGCCCTGACTCCGTGTCAGCTTCATGGGACCCGGGGCCCCTTTCCACGCACAACCTGGGTTCCACCAGCACCCACTAAGTGCCAGGAACCAGGCTGAGCACAGAGAATAACAGAACAGGACAATGTGGTCCCGAAACCCATCACTCCCTAGCACCGCGCCGCCCTGCCTCCAGACAGGTGACCGGTACCGAGGGGCAGGTGCCCCCAAGGTCTGAAGGGCGTCACTGCCACCGCCGGGCTCCTGCTGTGCACGAGCCCTCGGGGTGTCTGGGACGGGTGGCAGGCCTAAGGCCGGCAAGGACCCCCGTGGGGCTGAGGGTCTGCAGGTGCCTGTCTCCATCACAGTCCCCAAGGGGCAGGTGCGGGCTCCCACTCCTTGTGTCCTCTCACTCCCTGCACGGCGCTGTGCGGCCAGCAAGAGTGGGGGTGGGGCGGCCGTGCTGAAAATGACCTGGCCCGGCCCAGGCAGGCAGCCGAGGCTCCTGCATGCCAGCACCTCAGGCCTCCTGCCTGCTCTGGGGCCCAGGTGACTTGACAGGGGCCCTAGCTATTCTGCCCCCTTCCCTCGGCCACCAAGGGCTGACAAGGTCACTCTGGAAAAGCCAACAAGATCCTGCACCAAGGCCAGCACTAGAGGCCCAGCCAGACGGGCAGCGGGCGGGCTCAGGGGTGCCCCAGGCCACCCGCGCCAGGGCCAAGGAGGGCTGCCCTGCAGGTGGCATGGCAGTAGGGGGTTTGGGAGCCCCTGGGACACGGCGGGCACAATTAGATGTATGGCTCTGGGCAGGGACGCCTGCACTTCAAGTGCCTCCCAACAGGCCATCCTGAGGCTCCGTGGAGATGGTTTACAGACCCTCCACTACGGGGGCCTTCACCTACTGGGGCAAGAAGGGCGGCGCTTGCACTTGGACGGGGAACAGGGCCCTCCCTACTCCAGCAAGGACAGCTAGGACTCAGGCAGGTCTCCCATCCACCCAGCAGAAATCCACCGGGAAGTACATGGAGCTGGGAGAAGAGAGGCCCGACTGGGCTCCGGGGCCCCTTCACAATGCAGGGACCTCCAGAAGAGCTCAGGACAGCTCTGCAGGGGTTTGGGTTTGGATGAGAGGTGCCCCGCAGAGGGTGGGCCAGGCTTCCAGGATCCACGTCGCAAGAACCGAAGTGAGCCAGGCCCTGCCGGGCACCAGCTTCCTGATTCATGGACGATCCTGAAAGCCAGACGGCTCCGAACACATGACTGTGGGAAAGACCACAAGCCCCGCGGAGGAGTCCGGGGCCTGGTCTGAGGGGGGTGCATCTGCACGGAGCCTGCGCGTCTCTGCCCTGGGATCGGGGCCCAGGGGTGCCGAAGCCCCTGGTGTGGGCTGAGCAGAGGCTCAGGAGCGAAGGGCCAAGAAGGGACAGAGGCTCCAGGGAGGCGGGTTCAACCTGACACACAGAGAGCCCCCACCTCCAGAGCCGGGCCCCGGGAGCAGGGAGCTCCCTGACAGCAGGGGCCCACTGGCACAGACGGCCAGCTGCAGCGAGCTTGGCTAATGACCTCTGAGAGTCCAGGGCTGGGGAGTCGGCCAGAGCCGGCCTCAAACTCAGGCGGGAGCCTCCTCTCTGAGGCTCTGCTTCCCAGCGGCAAAGGGCAGAAATGACAGTGCGCGCCCCCAGGGTCCACAGGAGGGGTCCCACCTCTGTACTTACCTGGGGGCTGCCCGTGCTGAAGCCCAGGGCAGGCGTGGTGGGCACTGACATGGAGTGGGGGCCCATGGGGGAGCTGATGACCGAGAAGGGTGGGCCCATGCCGTTGATGGGGGAGCTCAGGGTGCTGATGGGCGAGTGCAGCTGTCCTGGGGAGCCGAGAGAGGAACCGATGCCCGGGCCCAGGGAGGGGTGCAGCGAGGGGGCGGCCATGGAGCCTCGGCCCGTCGGGGAGTTGAGGGATGAGGAGTTCACCTGGGTGGAGAAGTCTGTAAGACAAGAACCCAGAAGAGGGTGGTCAGGAACTTATACTGCCCAGCCTGCTCCCCACGGGGCACAGAGGCCACAGAGAGGCCAGGCCCCGGTGCCCCCATGGTGAGCCTAACCCCACGGCGAGCCTAACAGTTCATGCCGCAGATTCCTGCCAATAGGAGGCCGGAGCGCAAGGAGCTGCCCCCCGACACCCGCCAGCCCCGGCCGCGGGGCGCAGGCCGAGCAGGGGACAGCTGCCAGCGGCAGGCTCTCCGGTGCCCGTCCAGGCCAGGAGGCCAGAGAGCCGCCTGTCCACCTGGAACGCCTGCTCACCACGAGCTGCTGGCCCCTCTGCCCGTGCGCCCAAGGGGAAGGACTAAAGGTGGGCCGTGACAGTAAGGGCCATGAGGCTGCCGCTCCCCGAGTGCCCACCACGTCCACGAGGCGGACCCCGTGCCCGGGGCTGAGAGCCGCGTGCTGAGTCCTCGTCCGGCCCGGCTTGCAGACGTGTCGCCGGGACCCCGAGTGCCACAGCTGCCCGGGGCACAGCACGTCTGCCAGGAGGCTGACCCCCGCTCCGAGTTCTGTGGCCTCAACACACCACCCCGCCCACGCCTGCCCAGACACCCCCGCGGCCGCGGCCACGGCCCCTCAACCCGCGAGGCCCCGGAGAGACGCCCGCTTCCGATGTGCCCGGGCCCGCTTCCGCAGGGGCCTCGTGGACAGGCTGGGGTGTGTGCCAGCCCAGAGGCTGCGGGGAGAGGCTGGGACCTCCCACACATGCTTTCATCTCGGGGATTTCAAAGCCCCAACGAGAGAGCTAATGAGGTCTCCACCCCACACTCTGCAAGAAGAAGGCTCCCCCAGAGGAAGGCTCGGGCGGCGAATCCACTGCCCACGGGCAGGCACCAGCACAGCAGCAGAGCCAGGGAGCCCAAGGCTGCCTCCACCCGCAGAACGCCCTCGGGCCCCTCCTCCAGCCTCAGCCTTCCCACCTGCAAACGGGCCTGGCCCACAACACCCCAGTTCAGAGGGCCCAACCCGGCTGCGCCCCTCAAGGCTCCGGGGACCACTTGCCTCCCTGAACCTCGGGGCAGCTGTGTTCCAAAGGCCCCCCTGAGTCTTGGGGGACAGACCCCATCATGCGGCGGGACACCACGACCAAGCGGCCCAGCTAAGATGTGGCACACGTGACTCTGGCCAAAACCCTTATCAGGGCCGTACGACCCTGTCCCCGGAGATGCTGGGGGTGGCCAGCCCGAAGGGTGGGGTGGTCCCACGGGGATGTGCCACCCCACCAGAGGCCCAGCCCCCGCAAGCATTTACCCGCTTCCGCCTCGCAGCCCCTGGCCCGCAGGACACTTCCCCCTCCTCCCCGTTCCGTGGGATCGGAGGCGCAGAAGCCGGCCTGGAATCCCACGGTCCAGCTGGGGGTGGGCGAGCCTCTGGCACCCTGACTCCACTGACTCCAGCCTCAGCCGAACCAGCGGAAACGCCAGTCACTCACAAAATCGGAGATCGCCCATTTCAGTGAACTTGAGAACGAAAACTAGAACCCCAGCGGCACTGGGGGCCGGCAACGCCTGTCAGCAAGGGTGGGGGTGGGCACCACAGATCTGCCCTGTTGGTCTCAAAGTGCCCTAAACACGTGTGCCTCGAGGGCCATACCTTCCCCAGAAAGCCCAGAGGGCAGCAGCGGGGCTGACGACAGCGGACAGGCAGGGAGAGGTGTCTGTACACACCGGACCCAGGCCAGGCTGCCAGTGTCTGAACCACGGGGCTCCTGCGGCCGTGTCCACCCATCCAAGACAGACACAGAGACCGAGGCACAGACCGCCGGCGTGAGCCTCGCCCAAAGGCGTGAGTGCAGAAATCCGCAGCTGCCCCACACCAGGCAAACAGGGACCCACCGTGGTCTGCCTCCCCAGCCTGCGGCCAGCCCTGGATGAGGGCCCGGTGCCGGCTTCACCCCTGCCCAAGCCTGGGCTTCCCTGTCTACACACACCCGCGTTGTAGAAGCCAGCCACGGCCTGGACCAGGGCTGCCCCCTCCACGCAGTGGGACGGGCACCTCTCTGACTTCAGCGTGGACGCGAAGGGGGACAAGATGGACTCTGCAAAACAGCATCAGCGGCCAGCTCCGCGGGAGAGCACGGAGACCCCGCCAGGCAGCCAGGGCACCCGGGGCTCCCAGGCCCAGAAGGGCGTCCCTGCACCCCCACGCACCTTTCTTCCTAGAAGCGGGAAGGAGACCAGGATGCCGGGGCCAAGCCCAGCAGCCACTCCTAGACTCCACCCCCCGCCCAGGTGCTCCGGGGGCCCAGGGGGGCCTGAATCAGACCGGGACACCGCAGGGCTGCTCAGGGGCCGTTCGCCTCAAGGGGCGGGGTGCAGGGGTGCAGCCAGTCGCCACAGGCACTGGGAGGAGCATCTGCTGCTGCCACAGCTCCCAACTGCGGGGCCCGCGCCCACCCACCGCCCACCCTGCGGGCCTGAGCTGCTGCTTGTTTGGTGCTCCCCCCAGGAAGGGGAGGGAGAGGCAGGAGAAAGCTTGGCCGGAAGGAAGGAAGAAGGGAGGGAGGGAGGGAGGGAGAGGCCTGTTTGAGTGCCAGGGGCCAGGCTGCACCCCAAAGCGCCCAGCCCCGCAAGGCACTGCCTGCCCCTAGCCCAAGTCTGAGAACCAGGAGGGGGGTAGCCACCAGGGGAAGAAGCACCCACCGCCAGCTTCTGTGTGGCCCACCCCGCCCCGGCTGGACGGCACAGGCTCAAGTGTCCAGCAACTGCTCCAGTGTGAGCTTCTGGGGCTGCTGAGTCTGGAGGCTACACCGGCCCCCCTCAGTGCATGCCCCCTTGGGAGCCCTGCTGTCCCCAGCCCCCACCAGTGTGTGCCCCCTCCGGACCCCTGCTGTCCCCCCGCAACACATACCCCCTCAGGACCCCTGCTGTCCCCGGCCCCCACCAGCTCGTGCTCCCTCGGGATCCCTGCTGTCCCCCCACACCCCGTGCCCCCTCAGGACCCCTGCTGTCCCCAGCCCCCACCAGTACATGCCCCCCCACCCCCCTCCCTGGCTTTGGGTGTTTCCTGTTTACACAGAGCATCCACAGTAGACACTTTCCCGGAGCCTGGGTGACAATGGGCTGGGTGTGTTTTCTGGAGTCTTCTGGAAAGAGACACTCTGGCCAGGAAGGGAACGTTAGAAAGAAAAGGCAAAAAAAGCCCACACATCCTCTGCCTGCAGAGGCCCTGCCCGCCCCCCTCCACACCCGTGCAAGGCTCCTCTCGGCCAAACCCCTTACCCGCCCCCACCCACTGAGAAGCAGAGGAACGTTCAGGCCTTGTTCTTTACAAGCCATACTCTGAACCTGCTCTGGCTTTGTCACCGGCTGGTCACCACACGCTTAACTGACCCCTGCTCAGTGCGGCTGCAGGACACTGGACGCAGGCTCCCTGCCCCAGGGATGCAGAGGGGCTTGTGAGGGAGGGGCAAAGCCCGAACCCCAAACCTCACACCCTCAGCACCCCATGCCCCTTACACTGCGCATGCACGCACGCGCACACACATATGCACACACGAACACACACGTATGAACACAAGTATGCACACGCACGCGCACACACATATGCACACACGAACACACACGCACACACACCAACACACACACACGCATGCACCCCTTTGGGACCATGAGCAATCAGTGAGACTGGGGAAGGAGGCCATGGCCTGGGAGCTCACAGGGACCTCCAGGAAGGACAGGTCCCTGTCCAAACAGGGGAGGCCCAGCAGCCCCAACATGGGTGAAGAGACATGGAAAGGCTGCCAGATTCAGTCCAGGAAGGCTACATGGAAGAAGTGGCAGACAGAATTCTCTTTTGGCACAAAAAGCACTTCAGGCCACAGAACTGCTTCTAAAATGCTAACACCTGGAGGCCGGCATCAGCCACGGGGCAGAGACGGGACGCACTGGGGTCTCAGCCCCAGGACCTCCCTGGACCCCAGAGCCCGAGGGTGAAGAGCTGTATTTGGTAAAGTGTCAAATAAAGAAAGCACTCCTGGCAATGGACAGCGGCGGGACTGCTTCTTGGGGTGGTGAGCTCCCCATCAGAGCCGCGGGCAAGCAGAAACTACATCCACGGCTCAGGAATGGCCCAGCAGGCGGCCCCTAAGGCCCCTTTGAGAGAGGGACTCTCTCCACCACCCTCCAAAATCCCTGAGCTCCGTGTGCTCCCTCCAGAACAGGGTTTTGGAGGGACCCCACAGCAGGGAGCTGGGAAACCCCACCAATGCCTTTCTGCTCCCCACAGGGTAGACAGGGGCATGTGGCAGGAAATGCCAGCCGGCCCCACTGCGGTGGGGGTGGGTGCACCCCGGGACTCCGCCCCCTCCGGGACAGCTCAGGGCTCCTCCAAGGCCCTACTTGCAGAACCGACTGGGGCCGAGTCCAGGAAGGCCACAGGCCAGGGCTGCATGTCTAGTGGAGAAGAGGACACGGGGCCAGCCAAGCGGGGAGCTCAGAGGTGGGGAGAGACAGGAGGTCCAACAGAAGGAGTGTGAGGAGGGGTCCCATGGGCGGGCATAGGCCAAAGGCTTCGAGGGGGGCCAGAAGGACCGCAAGGGGGCAGGAGAGCAGGTGCCCAGGAGGAAGAGGGGCACAGAAGACCCCAGGACAAACAAGACTGGGTTCTGAGCATAAGCTCCCCCAGACTCTGCAATTCTGTGTCCCTGCCTGGAGACCCGCCCCCCCCCCCCGGAACCGAAACCCCACGTAGAGGCGCTGGCAGGCCTAGGGAGCTTCCCGGGACACCCACCTTCAGCCCCCACCTTCTGGAAGGACTGCTTCCCCTGCCGCCGCCGCCGGGGGAGGGAGAAGTGGCCGCCCGGCAGGGACTGCGGTGGGGACCACGGCGAGCGTCTGGGTTTGGGGGAAGCTGAGGGTGGCTGGGACAGACGGAGGGGGTGGAAGGAAGCTTCGACAGGCCCCGCAGGGTGAGGGGCCTTCGGGAGCTGGGGCTGGGCCGG